CTCTGACTATATGCCCTCCACACTGGCACCCTCCACACTGCCAGAGCACAAGCAGCACAACCCTGCAGAAACTCATTATTCCAAGAATAAGATGCTTAGGAAGTGGTGCTGTGGCTAAAGTGGTAGAGCGCTAGCTCTGAGCACAAAAAGGTTTAGGGACAGAGTCCAGACCCTGAGTTCAAGCCCCACAACCACCACCACCAACAAAAAGAATAAGAGTTTGACATGCAATTTCTGCCCTTCAAGCAGAGAGAACTGGCAATCTTGGGTGACTTTGGGAGTTATTTAAAGGGACAACAAGTATTCATAATGACATAGATTTATGGTTGAAAGCTGGGTGCCAGTGGCTTACGCCTATAATCCTAGCTACTCAAGAACCTAGGATCTAAGCATTCAGGTCGAAAGACAGCTCAGGCAGAAAAGTCTGTGAGATACTTTTTTCAATTAAGCAGCAAAAAGCCAAAAGCAGAGCTCTGGCTCGAGTGTTGTAGTACTAGCCTTGAGAGGAAAAAAAAACAACCTAAGGACAGTGTCCAGGCGCACACACACACACACACACACACACACACACACACTTGCACGGGTACGTACACACACAAATAACTTTAATGTTTCTGCTCTTGCATAATGTAATGCACATTCAAGGAGGTTGTAATAATCTTTTAATAATTTCCTCAGAGACAAATGCCAGAGCTTAAACTAAATTGAGGTGAATGTAGTTTGCATAATAAATGACCCCATTAACAATTGGGAGGAAAAAAAACACTAACCTCATGAAGAATATTGGAACAAACACTAATGGATCAAACACAGAAGTAATGTTTTAATAATGCATGTGATCATGTTTTTATTAGCAAGGAAAGTCTTGTTTCAAAACACATATATCCTTGACAAGAGTCTGAAATTAATCCTCAGTAGGCAGGAATCTACACCATAACACATTCTGATTATAATTACAACCTGCTCTTCATGTGAATATTCTAAATTATTAGGCACTTTATTAAGAACCAGGAAAGGGACTTTCTGCAGCCTAATGAGAACTACTCATCAGCTCTGAGAGAGAGAGAAAGCAAGAAGAATTCTTCACTGAGCTGGAAAAAGGAGGAGGCCACTTAGTTAATGAAAATACTTCGTTTCTTCTCTTGGCTTAGGAATTGGCACACCCTATGGGGCTCAGACACCAGCAGGCTTCAGAGCTGCTATTCTTTTTCTAGGGCAAGATAAAAATGCCTATCACAGAAAAAAATACCAATTTATCATTGTAGTGGCTCATCTCACTAGAGAAACCACTGGAGACTGCTTAACATTTTTATTTCAAACACGGTTTTCCTTGGTCTCTAGGTGACAGACAGATACTGATGTCTTTTCTTTCTTGATCATTTGTTCCTAATAAAAATGGCTTGATTCTGCGTTCATTTTCTTCTGGGGTGACACTAAGGTTTGAGCTCTAACAGACTGACAACCTCTTCCCTTTTGCGCGTTTCCTTCAAAAGCTGCACAGGTAACACCTGGGCCTGTGCAGAAGAAGACAGATGGGCTCCTTTACTTCTTCCTGCATCCCTGGAGACCTCAGCCCAGAGGCTCTGAGATTCCAGTGGACTGACATGTCTGCTGGATTTTTCTGACTGTGCACGCACAGTGCTCTCTTGGTGTCAGATCCTGCTATGTATCTGTGTAAACTTCCTCCTTGTAGACAGATTTCTCTACTTATTCAAAGTATTCCCTGGATTTCCATTGAGTAAATCCATATTGCTTTTCTTCTTTGACTTTGTATATCCATATCTCCTTCATTTGATCTGGAACTTTTGCTACTATGGTTATTAGTCGAATGAAAGTCCAGAATCAGTACATGTTATTGTGACACCTGAACCTTGACATTTGCTCCTGTTAAGATCTCCTGCAGATCAAGACCTTAACCTATTTGATCTTGATCATCCTCTTTTCTCTCCTCTTAAGGAACGATGTTTACATGTTCCACTTTGGCTGTGCAAATGAAGGTTTTATAGAATAATGATGGACAGTAATCAAGTTTTTAATAAAACACTATGAGTCAGGCTAAGACAAGGACTTTGGAGGCTTCTCTCAATTTTCCCAAGTCCCACGAGGTAAAAGGCTTTTCTATAAATGGGTATGAATCTCAAGCTCAGAGAGGTTGGGTAATAGTCACACAGCTGGTAGCGGGCAATGGCAGGACCTGAATTGAGAAAACTAGATTTCAGAGGCCACATCCTCAATCTTCACATCAAACTCAGGCTCAAAAAAAGCAGAGCCCCAGAGGCCTGACTGTTCTCTCTCTCTCTCCTCTCTCTCCCTCTCCTCTCTCTCTCTCTCTCTCTGTCTCTCTCTCTCTCTCTCTCTCTTTCCCTCTCTCTCTTTATAGCAGTACTAAGGCTTGAACTCAGGGCCTGGGCACTATTCCTTAGATTTTTCACTCAAGGTGAGTGAGCCACAGTTCTATTTCCAGCTTTTTGGTGGTGAATTGAAAATAAAAGTCTCAAAAACTTTCCTACCCCAGCCAGCTTCAAACGTCAATTAACTAGGACTATCAGCGTGAGCCACTGGTGTCCACACCTGTCTTGTTTCTAAGATGAAGACAATGACACAATGAATCTCTGACCCAATATAAATCACATCTCTGAATATTTGGAATCTGTTTACCTGGAGTCTGGACAGTACATCTGTGCATTCCAGCCTGGCCTATTCCTGAGGTTTGTCCTCTGGGGCACAGAGTGAGCACTTCAGAGTGAGGTGCATGAAAGTCCAGACATACTAGATGAGAGGCTTAGGCCATATCTACCTATAACAGGGGTGTCCTGAGTGCAGCCCTGTATCCCAGATAAGTTTCAGCCTGATTGACAAATATAAAATGTAACCCTCCAATGGAAGAGGGGTGGTTTATGTAAGTTACTGGGGTTAAGGCTAGTATCCAAAGCACCAACACAATCTAGGCACATAGGCAGCCCATGGGCTACGGGGTCTCCGCAGGTCACAGGGGATCCTCAGATCTGCAGCCAGGCCTGAGGCATGAGCTACACTGACTGTCTGACCTGCTGCAGCCTCCTTGCTACAGTTTCATTCCATGCGGAGAACTGCCTTTGGGAAAGCTGAGCATGTGCAGCTGGCTTGGCAGCTGGATTCTGACTGGTATGAATAACCGACAATCTGTTTATAAATCAGTCAGATCTAAGTTCAGTTCATTTTTCTGGGCCCAACCGAATGTGGGTGTGCAAATATAACTTCTGGATCTGCAAATGAGAGCTCCAATCCTGGATCTTAGTAACATATAGGGGAAGGAAGATTCCCCCCAGTCCTTGATTCTTGGGGTCCTTTGGTCTTCTCCTTATTCCTCTCCTCCTCCCAGAGAGCAGAAAGTAGAAATCAATCAGAATCAAGGAGGTGGTTATTCCAAGGCCTGGTCTCTGTGTGCAAAAGACTGGCTGGGGCAGTGATTCTGTGAGCCTGAGCCTCCTCATGAAGAGCACATGGGCTCTGGGCACTCTCATTTCAGCTCCTTCTATCTAGACCTTGCCTTGAGGTTCACCCAAGAGGACAAAGTCCCCAGAGGCCAGATTCTATTTGAGTCCAAACCACTCCATCCCTGGAGCTCTTAGGGAGGGCATTGAGCATTCCTGAAACCATTGTAACATGGCAACGCTTAATCACAGGACATTTAATGATGGATCCTTGGCTCTTTGAGAACTTCCTGATTGGGGAGGGAGGGTGGTGTGAAGGCTGCATGCATTCCTTTGTTGCTGCCATAATCCCGGCTCTGATTCTTTAACAGACTGTACTAAGGAATTCTGCCACAGGAGACAGTGCCAGATAAGTATAAGGAGCTCAGCCTCTGCAGCCCTGCCTTCCATGATCAGCAGTGGTCCCTGTGTGAACAAGCTCAGTGAGCTTAATAATACTTGCTCCCATGGTAAATAAAACAATGACTCTTGAGATGAAATGATTGCAAGGCTAATCTGTCAAGGACCTTATTTGGTACGTTAGTTAGTTCATTATTTCTGTCTTGTTTTTTTTTCCCTAATGGTACAGGTGTTTGAATTCAGGGCTTTGTACTTACTTGACAAGCACTCTACCATTTAAGCTATATCCCAGTACTTTTCTTACTTTAGTTCTATCCCCATACCACCCATACCAGGGCTGGAACTCAGGGCCTCATGCTCTTCTCAGTTTGCTTACTCATGACTGATACTCGATCACTTGTGTCAGTCCAGCATTTTGCTTGTGAATTGGAGGTGGAGTTTTCTACCTAGGTTGGCTGTAATCTATGTTCCTCCAGCTCCCAACTCTGGCATACCTAGAATTACAAGATTAGTCACTGCATCCAGCTTTATTACTTTGGTCTTTTGAAGTCAAAATGCATATTCCAATTTCTTGACCTCAGCATTATTGTTATACAGGACTGAGTGATTTTGTCCTATGTGCGGTGGGGGTATTTGGAAGTACCCTGGCTTCTACTCATTACCCACCAGAAGCATCATAGTATAGAGACGTTTTTCTCTAAACATATCAAATTCCTGCTACACAGCAAAATTGTTCCTGGTTGAGAAAAACTGCTTTTAAGTGACTGATTTACTTTCTTGCTAACTTGAAGACTAAGCTTAAGTAGTTCTGGCACTTAGAATTCTTCATATGATGGCACTATTAAGTGGCACTTGCTTTATTTGTATACATACTCTCCCATTTGGTATTTAGTAATGATAGTCATCCCTGGGCAGAGAAATACGTCTGAGAACCACAGCTTTGCCACCTGGGCCTTTCCTGGTGCCATTTGCAATTGTCAGGGTCTATTAGGCGAGTAGCTCCCAATGGATTTAGTGGTATTAGTTAGTCAGTGTTACCAGAAAGCTGGGAGTTGATTTCCAACAAATTTAGTTGGTGCCCTAAATCCAATATGAGACTGAGACTGATGTGAGGACTTCCTTTATGTAAGTCCTCAGCTGACCTACAGAACACACCCAACCACAAACATCCAAAAAGAGCCAGCTCACCTCTGTGAATGTGGGCCAGAGACAGGGAGGTGACATGGTGCAGACTGGAGTTCCACACAAAGATGTCTTCTTGCTTGCTCACCACCTGCCAAATTCATGGAAATTTAAAGACAAAAATGAAAATAAAATAAAACCAAGAAACCCATTGATGAGAGAAATGAACTTAGTATCATACTCCACCACAACTATCCCAAGGCCTGATGCAACAGCATTCAGCATGGATGTGATACAAAACTCTGGTAGGATGCTTCCATGTCCTATAAATATCAGTTATTACATGAATAAATACCATACATGATGCATGGAAGTCCAGTTTCCATATGTTAATTCCTCACACATCAAACAGAATAGCTACTCATGGCTGATACTTGAAAGATATCGTTTCGGGGCTGGGGTATGTTGGAACACATCTGTAATCCTAGATACTTTCAAAGCCAAGATAGGAGAATCCTGGTCTGAAGATGACCAGGGCAAAAGTCCAAGCAGAACCTTATCTGAAAAACAACTCAAAAGCTCTAAGGGTGTAGCTCAAGTGGTAGAGTGACTGTCTAGCAAGCTCAAGGCTGCCAAACAAGACAGACAGATAGACAGACAGATGGAAGGATGGACAGACGAACAGACAAAAAGAAAGGAAGGAAGGAAGGAAGGAAGGAAGGAAAAGGAAGGAAGGAAGGAAAAGAGAAAGAAAGAGAATTTGAAGGAAGTGCAGTGAGATTAGTCACTCACTGCCTGAAGAATTCTAAAGATGAAAACAACTAGTTAAATCTAATCCTTAACAAGTAAGTCCCCTCTTTCCCTCCCTCCCTCCCTACTTCTATTCCTCCCTTCTTCCTTTTATAGTCAGACGTTTCTATGTGTTTTCATGTTGCTTTCCTGAAGACCTATTAAACCTCAAGAACTGGTAGTCTCCAGTCTGATATGTATGGGGAATTAACATAAATGTGGAAACGGGAGCAATAATTATGCCTGTGTCATTTGTTCAACCATTGGGTTGCTCTCATGGTCTCTGTATGAGATGGACTCAATCATCCCAATGCAGGGCATCATTCCTCTTTGCTTTTTTTTTTTTTTTTTTGGTGCCCAAACTTGGGTTTGAACTCAGGGCTTCACTCTTACATAGCTTCCTTGTGCGAGGTGGATGCTCTTAATACTTGAGCTACAGCTCCACTTCTGGGTTTTTGCATTTATCTGCCCAAGGCTGGCTTCTAGCTACAACACTCAGCTCTCAGCCTCCCAAGAGCTAGGATTTCAGGCCTGAGCCACTACCTGGTCCTCATTGTTCCCCTGTCTCACTGTTTAGCTGGAGGGTAATGAGGAAACAGACCTGGAATAAGATCAGAATGCAGGAAGTACACCATAGGAGAAAGCTGCTACATCACGAGGCTGGGACTTCCGGTCATTCTGGTGGAGCTGATGGCAGACTCTTATCGGACTAGAGGAGAGTTAAATTGGGCACGTCTGACATTCCTTTGTTCCTTCTTGCCTGTCTTTGTTTAGAAAACCCAATGGTTTGATGTCTAAACCTTTCACGTGTCTTTATGTGTTCAAGGAAATAACATTCAGACAGAAAGCTAGACTTGCTGCAACTCCATGCCATCTGCTTTTAACTCACATGCAGATGAGCCCCAGCTTTTGGAAAGCAACCTCTCCCTAGTAGCTCTGCAGGTCTGCAGGGCCTGGAGATCTTGCTGTGTAAGATGCTGCCTCTGCCACAGAGCTTTGTGCTCCAGTGGAAAATCAGCCCTGCGGAGAGCTGCTCCCATGTATAATTCAGCACAATTACCTGGGGTAGTGGCGCTGTTTGGAGAACAATGTCCTGTGTGTGTCTGCTTTCCCAGCTAATGGGGCATCTCCTGCCAGTGGAGGGAGGGGCCGCTCTGTTATTTGACTCAGTCTCACTCTGCACTGGTATCACAATGACAACTGAGAAAGCTGGGGAGAGAGGGACAACTGTGAGAGAGCAGCCTGCAGAAAATCCTAAGCGAAAGGGAAGACAAGAGTTGGCTTAATATTCCTCAAAGTTCTAGAAGGAGATTTCCAAGCCTTGCCCATCACACTGTAGGGTAACAGTAAGAAACTGGAGACAGACTCTCCCAAACATTGTTCCTCACCATGGCAGGGAGGCAGGGAACACAAAAACACTGTGCAGAGTGTCCAAATAGAATTGAGAACATTTTTTTGGTGTGCTGGTACTAGGACTTGAACTTAGGGTAGGGCCTTAGTTGTTGTTGTTGTTTTCACTCAAGGCTGGCACTCTACCACTGGAACCATACCTCTACTTCCAGATTTGGGATGGTTAATTGGAGATAAGAGTCCTGTGGACTTTCTTGGCTGAGTTGGCTTCAAATCTCAATCCTCAGATCTCAGCCTTCTGAGTAGCAAGGATTACAGGTATGAGCTACCTGGCTCAAGGGCACTTTTTAACTTCCTAACCGAAACTCAAAATATAGAGTAGTGACACATGTAGTAGTGCTCACAGGCAGTGAGCAAGAAGGAAGACTTCTTCTCTGTCTGGAACTTCTTTCTGCACCATCTCACTTCCCTGTTTCTGGACCTCACAGAGACAAGCAGGTTCTTGCCAAATGCTTGTGTTCGGGTGGCTCAGCAAGTCATCCATAGACATAAGTCTGCTGAAGCGAAGTCCTCATACCAGTGTGAGCCTCCTATTGGATTGATGGCCTCAAATAGCTTATTTGGAACATTGATAGTGCTACTACTGAAGTCAAGAGAAAAATAAGGAACACACAACTGGCTAGAAAAAAAAAAGCTTACAAAGAGAGACCTTATAAAGGGCTCTTGGAAAATCCTGTTGTGATGGTGCTCTTCAAAACTTATGAGAGAAAAGACAAGTTCAGATTGTGGGGGAAGATTCTAGAAGACCTGCTACACTGGCACCTTGGAGCTTTTCCTTGTATGTGAACATCCCAGTCAGTCCTGCTCCATGTTGCTGGAGCAATCCTATTGTAACCTTATCCTTGCTGGTGCAGGGACCCTTTTGGCTACCTCCAAACCTGCCCAGGTAGCCCCAGATCTTAAAGTACCATGAGAGAAAGACAGGTTCACTAGTGTAGATGTCCCAGGAAGGTAATGGACACAGAAGTCTCTGTCCTCTTGAAATGGAATTTGTTGGTGGGAAAGAGTCAGCTGATGCCACCAGAGATGTACAGTGGTCCACATTCTCAGAGGGGACTGCAGTATAGGAGCCTCACTCCATCCAACTGATAAGTGGCCAAAACAAACACATCAGAAAGTCTGGCTCAGCCTCGAAGTATAGAGAATTTGAAGAAATCACTGCCAGCTGAATGCTGATGGCTCATGCCTGTAATTCTAGTTACTGAGGAGATTGAGATCTGAGGATCAAGATTCGAAGCTAGCAGGGCAAGAAAATGTGTGAGACTTTTACTTCCAATTAACCATCAAGAAGGTGGAAGAGGAGCTATGGATCAAGTGGTAGAGTGCTAGCCTTGAGCTCAAAAGCTCAGAGACAGTGTGCAGGCCCTGAATTCAAGACCCAGGGCTAGCACACACACACACACACACACACACACACACACACACACACAAAGAATGCCACTGCCTAAGCCTGTACAATCCACAAGATTTCAAAATGTATATGCAGTATAAATGATATATTTTTTTTTGGGGGGGGGGTCCAGTCGGGGGGCCTGAACTCTGGGCCTGGGCGCTGTCCCTCAGCTCTTCAGCTCAAGGCTAGCGCTCTACCACTTGAGCCACAGTGCCACTTTCGGCTTTTTTCTTTTTGTTTATGTGGTGCTGAGGAATCGAACCCAGGGCCTCATGCATGCAAGGTAAGCGCTCTACCACTGAGCCACTTTCCCAGCCCTATAAATGATATTTTAAACCCTTTCACCTTCAAATACCTTCATGTGAAGTTTTAGGAATAGAAATTTTTTTAAAAAATGGTACAGTTATCTTTTACAATAAACAGTAAACTCACTACTGAAAACTGCTTAAATGTAAACAAAGTTATTACATATTAGCTTTATGTAAGCAAGGTCTTTAAACACATCAGACAACAGGCATTGTTTTAAGCACGTAACCACATTCATTCCTATTCTATTGATCTCTTCATTTTACAGGTAGAAAACTATGACACAGAAAGTTTGAATAATTTTACACAAGGATACAGGGCTGAGTGGGGACCAGGTACCCAGGCAGCTGAGCTTAAGTTCCTAACCACAGACTACACTGCCTCCTAATGGACAGAGGGTAGAGTAGCTCTCCACAAAAACCTGTCCTTCCCAAACACCTGTTTTATAAGGGTGCAGCCCACCTTGAAAGCATCTGATGGAAAGATATGCTTGCTTCCTAATAGACCATCCTATCAACAGAGGAACACCTTCCTCAAGGTGAAGACTCAGATCCATCCCTCTTTCTTCCTTTTGGGAGAAACCTCAAGGGGATCCAGGCAATATAGACAGTTAAAGTTGACTCACTTCCTATAGAGGATCTAAAATACCCTCAGCCAGCATTATACTTAACAGAACTAGGTGCTTTTCTCCTCAGACAAGGAAGGAGACAAAGGTGTCTATTACCACTCTCTCCACATTGTACTGGGGGTGATTATCACTTGCACAAGTTTGCCAATGTGAGATTGTACACAGCATACTATTGGCTAATGGAATGGAAGGTGACCAACCACAGCACTGTGTTCTGTATCCTGAGTACTGATTGGTGACTGTAGCATCGGTCTGTTTGCTTTCCCATGTTATGCCCATATGTTCAGCATCTCTCCTTGTCCACTTCACATTGATGTCTGATTGCTGCATGTAGTGTTGCTCTGCAGTGTGTGTTTTTATGGAATTTTTGTAAAAGTCTGAATTTATGTCAAGCTCTACGATGCCACTCAAACGCTCTGCACCTTCTAAGGCTTCTGGCACTGAACCCAAGTGCCAGAGGAAGATGTTTACCATCAAAGAAAAGGTGGAACTTCGCCACATGTTAAAGGAAGGCAAAAGCTACACAGCTGTAGGCCACCATTATGGGAGCAACAAATCTACTGTGGGTTACATAAAGACTAGAGGAAGAATATTCTGTCTATGGCCGTGATGACTTTTAACAAGA